GAGGAAATAGATCTTACTTGACTTACCAGCTCTGCATCAAAAGACCATGGAGCAGATCCCATCCAGAAACCACAGATGTATTAAAAGAACAGCTTCGAGTAAAATTAGTAAAACGAGGTACTTTTCAAATGCAGCAATGTTAACTGTATATTATTTATTTGGCTATTTAATCAAAACAATTATTTTATTATCATTTTTAAATCAAATTATACAATGTATTTTGTATTTTTTTAGCTTTCCCATGTGGTTAAGAGCCTGTAGTCGAGAAGACTTGATTAATATAACCAGTAAATAATTACACAAAAGCTACCAGTTTTGTAAAAAAATATTTCCAGTCCAGTAGTTTTTCATTTGGATCAACACGGAAACTTTTATTTGAAAATGTACTTCTGACAATATTCTGGCACACACTCGCAACAAATGAAAACATTGATCATCTTGAATGAATCTGTACTTTTGTATTTTTTTAATTTAAATATTTTTTTAGGTCGCAGCAAAAGAATGACTAACTTTGAAGATTGAAGAGATATTGTTGTTTCTATTTCGATAATGCATGTGCCAGTCCCAAAAATATCCTTCGGTTGGGCCACAATTTTTAAATCAACCATTTGCAGATATAGTTAAATCTCAAGCGGAATTTAAAAACAAAAAGCTAATAGCTAGAAGACATTCCAATGAATACAAGCAGTTTGCACTTACCTTGTATTTTTTAGGACCTAGGGCATATTCATTTGTCTAAAATTTTGTGCCTTTTGGTGTGTAGTTTTCATATTGAGATTTTTATTAATTTGATTTTTGTAATACGTGTTTTTCGTATTTGGGTTTATTAAAATTAATAGTCAGTATGGGTACGTGTTTTATTTATAACAACCTTTTTCCTACAGTACTTTTCTTCAAATCTCATTTTAATTCAAGGTTCTAATAATTATGCATCTAAAAATGCAAATTTATGTGTACAACAAATTCATATGATTTATAAACAAATCCTAAGTCCAGTCTGGATTTATGAAATACAGCTACGAGGATGTGCCATAATATAAGTTTTCCAAAATAAAGTCCTAAGATGTATCATTGATGCACCCTGGCTCTATCTAAACGATTATCTTCATACAGACATATAAGAAGAAGAGGTTACTGCAAAACATGAAGGTCGACTCCACTCCCACGTTAATGCAGATGTGCTGCAATTACTGGACAACTCTGCACAGAAGACTCGAAAGGAAGAAAAGCCACTTGAGCTAGTGCAGTGAACGTTAGTGCTAGTGTAAAACAGTGTAATAAATCGATACGCCAATTATTGGTGATGCTTTTCTACCAACGACTACTAGATTAATTTTGTTTACAAAAATAGAATTGTAAAAAATCACGGATTTATCCACCGAGTTGTCAAATTATTATAAGAGAGTATGGCGAAAGTCTTATTACAAGATTATGTTATTATTGATATATTATAAGATTCTAAAACACATAAAAGGCTTTCAAAATGACAGTTGGGAAGTATATTTGCATTTTTAATGCCAGTTATTATCAGTTTAATCTATTTTTCTAGATCCAACTATCATAGTTGAAGGTAATTACCAGGAAAGTACACAATTAATTAATACATCAATAAATTGTAATAGAATCACTCTGTTAAAGAGTTAATGTTATTTTTTTTTAAAAAACTGATGAATTTAGTACAACGAGTATTCGGTCTGGTTCCTCGAATAAAGACTTTTTTTTAGTTTAGCGATTAGTACAATTCACTTCAAAATAAATTATTGTGAATCCCTATTTTTCTAATTATATCACTAACCCTCAATTCAGAGAAGAAATAGTGGATGTTGCTAAATAAGTTTGTTACATATATTTAAATCCTTTTCTCAGTGTATTATACGAATCTTGGTAATTTTTACCAGTGTAACAACGTGCAAGAACGTCAACTGTCACCGAGTGTCACTTTTAATTTTGGCCCTAAACAAACTCCTGTCGACTTTTCCGTACGTAAATTTCATTTCGTGTAAAATTTTCCTCAAAGTTTCTTTACTCATTTGTGGGACCAATTCATGATCGCTAACTGCCTCCAGAACTTTTTGCAAAGTGGGCAGCTCATTTCTGAAAAAGAAACTGTGAATAGTTGTGCGTATACTGTTTTTGGCTTCTTCATCAACTGTGATTTTTTTTCTTCCGCTACTAGTTTTTGGCGTTTGTACTTCCCCATGAATTTTGTTTTCTCTTAGTATTTTGTAAACTGATGATTTTGGTACACCCGTATAATCAGAGCACATATCAACTAATTTATCTTTTGTAATTGTGGAAGTTAATGATGTTAGAACGCCCGGTTGGTTATTCGGAGGTACATCCGTAGAATTACAGCACATATGCACTAAGTTATCTTTTGGTCGCTGATGATCTCTTTCAAGATAGTGAAATACTCGAAGTACAATTTGTTTTTCACTTAGCGACCGAGACTTCGACCGTTTTACCTTTTTCGACGTTGAAGGCCCTTCAATGTCTTCCATTTTTTGCATAGTTTTAGAACGGTGTAGAAATATTATTATTTAATGTTTAAACACTTATTAGCACTAATATTTTCACCAATTGTTCTTACAACACGTCGATTACTTAGTAACTTAAATGTAAAACTAACAATTCACACCGTATAATTCAAAACCCGATGTTACGCTCGTGGTTAGAAATACACTACTGAGAACGTCATCGACGAGATGGATTTTACGCGTAACAGACAAAGACACAAATATCGCTCCGTACACCGATGCCATTAGTTGTAACAAATACTGAACAATCCATAAAATAATTAATTTTAAATGATCAAGAAATGTATAAGTATTACTCATTACTGATTTTTGTTATAATTAATATCTTTTATTAGTACATACTATGATTGTATATTATCTATAATTTGCCACAACTTACAACTCTACTACTTCCTCTATTTTGATTCTGCTAAAAACTAGTAAGGTAAAATTGAGATATGACAACACGGTTCACTCTCAATCATTATTTGTTTGAGTATAGTTTTGGCCACCCCGACATCAAACGTGCCGACGCAAGCCTTCGCTTCTGTAATAGTTATTCTGTGGCCTCGCTCTCATGTTTTGCACGGCATTCATATTACCAGCGCTATGGGCCGTATTTATATTTTTAAAAATCGCATTATACTTGAATAAATACACTTTACAATAGTTGTTTGTTTGAGTCGATAGCTTGACAATTAACAATCTATTAAAATCCCAAAAATTATTGACCAAATTGGTGCAAAACAGGTTTGTGACAACGTTGTATTAAGGTCGTCCACGCAACTTATGTTTGGTTGCGCAAACTTTTTAAACAAGTTGCCGCAATATTAAATTGTTACTTGTGTATGGATTTAAAATCGACTTGATTTAGTATTTCTTAAATTTAACTATACAGGGTGCACCAATAAAAACTTCCAGGCCGGATAAGTAATAGAGATATTTTAATTCTGTAAAAGCCAGTTCATAGAGCGCCAAGAAAACTTCAGTTTTAGATATAAATTGATTTTAAATAAGTCAATATGTAGATGGCGCTGCGCTCAATAATTTTTTTTTTCGATGGGAGGATCTTTTTTGTGTAGCGCATCTTGTAAAAAATGCATTTTTAGCAGATTTTGTTTTATAAACTAGTTCGATAAATCTAGCCATTTTTGATATACAGAGTGGGTTACTCAAAACAGTTTCATCCTCTTTTTCAGCATTAATCATTGGATTTTAAGAAAATGCTAAAACAGGTCGATTTTTAAACCAAATTAAAAACATTTTTACAATACAGACATCTATTATGTATCAACCCCCTCCCTTGCACTTCTCCAACACGTTAATTTTAAATAGGTAATGTACCATGTATGGCACATCATTGAAAAGGTAATTTAATATGGGATTCAGAAATATTTCTGTACATTCCGTTACTTAAATTTTATCGCCCTCTAGCGGGATAAAAAACTACTACGTATTATAGAATGTGACACTACAATGTGTAGTACATCATTAAAAGGGGAATTTTATGGGGTATTTAGAAATATGACTGTTCATTGCGATACTTTTAATTGTACCGCCCTCTATCGGGATAAAAATACTGTACGTATTATAAACTGTGACACCTTATTGGAAAGCAAATTTAATTACTAATTCAATGTGTCACATAAGATTAATATAAATATTCTGCATATTGCACTTGCAATAATTTGAAAATTAGTCATGCATTATTTTAAACAATATTGCTAACTTTATTTTGTTGCAAGTGCAATATGGAAATATTTATATTAATGTTATGTGGTGCATTGAATTAGTAATTAAATTAGCTTTCAAATAAAGAGTCACACTTTATAATACGTTTTAGGTTTTTTATCCCGATAGAGGGCGCTAAACTTAACAGTATCGCAATAAACAGTTATATTTCTGACTTCCCCATAAAATTACAATTTTCGGTGCTGTACATGATACTTTCCTTATTTAAAATTAAGGAGTTGGAGAAGTGGAAGGGAGGAAGTTGACACATAAATGTCTGTATTGTAAAAATGTGTTTAATTTGGAATAAAAATCGACCTGTTTTAGCATTTTCTAAAAATCCAATTATTAATGCTGAAAAACAAGATGAAACTGTTTTGAGTGACCCACTCTGTATATCAAAAATGGCTAGATTTATCGAATTAGTTTATAGAGCAAAATATGCTTAAAAATGCATGTTTTACCAGATGTGCTATATAAGAAAGATCCTCCCAAAGAAAATATTGAGCGCAGCGCCATCTACATATTGACCTATTTAAAATTAATTTATTTTTAAAACTGAAGCTTTTTTAATGCTCTATGAACTGGCTTTTACAGAATTAAAATATCTCTATTACTTACCAAAATATCCGGCCTGGGAGTTTTTATTGGTACACCCTGTATATCCAGAACTCATCTTCATAGTTTATAATCTAGATCTAGAAAATAATAGATTTCTTTCTGTGTAAGTAACAGAAAAATTCTTCTTTTCAGCTTGCCAATCGGCCATTACCATTGGTTTGCTGTCATCCTGGAGTTCACCCTTCATAGTAAAATTAACAAGCGACAAAGAAAATTATGACATATCAGAAGACGAAGCTTTCCTCTTCACTATCATACCTCCCTTGGCGATGATAATATCCTGCCCATTTTTCTCCAAATCTTGTGATATAATCGGCAGAAAACACACGCTAATGTTATTAAGTATACCGCATATCTTAAGCTGGCTGGTAACTACTCTATCGTCCAGCATATACGTGTTCTATTTATCAAGGTTTTTCGCTGGAGTGGGCCACGGTTGTTTTTTCGTTTCACTGCCCCTGTACATCGGCGAAATAAGTACTCCAAGAGTACGCGGCATTTGGGGCAATCTACTCAACGTCTTAAACTATGCAGGTATATTTCTGATAAACTTAATTGGTTCGAAATATTCAGTGAACGTGACGGCCTATCTATGTTTGCCACTGCCAATCGTGTACATGGTATCTGTTTATTTTTTACCGGAATCGCCATACTGGTATATCATGAAGAATCGATACGACGATGCTAAAAATTCTTTACGGAAATTAAGACAAGTCGATAACGTCGAAGAATTATTCCTGCAATTGCAGGAGGAGATCGTTAAGAGAAAAGATGAAAGAAGCACTTGGAAGGATTTGTTGGTGAAGCATTTGAACCGCAGGGCTTTAAGAGCTGGTATTTTTCTACGTATATCCCAGTTGTTAGGTGGCGTAACTGTATTCAACGTGTACATGCAATTCATCTTCAAACATTCTGGTAGCAACGTCAATCCCGAGGTCCCAGCTTTGATATACAGCGGATTATGCTGCATACTCATTTTTGTGGCTGGATTTATAATTGAAAATGTTGGAAAACGTCGTGCATTCATGGTATCAATTTTCTTATGCGGCGTAGTACTTCTATCAGAAGCAGCTTACTTCTATGTATCAGAAAACGTTAAAAGTATTGATCTATCTAATTACAGATGGTATCCTCTAGCGGGCATGCTAATGTATGTGGTATTCTGCTGCAATGGTATCATCCTAATACCATCCCTGATGTTATCAGAATTATTTGCACCAAATTTCAAATCTAAAGGTCTCAGCGTGTTAGTTATTGTATTCGGATTGATGATTTTCATTTCTAATTTTCTTTTCTATATCTTAGAGTCGAGGTTAGGCATGTACGGGCCATTTTTGGTATTTGGTATCAATAATATGATAGCGACAGCAGTGACGCCTTACGTGGTGCCAGAAACTAGCGGGAAAACTTTGGAGGAGATACAGCTTTCGTTGGAGCGGACCAGACCGATTTGGAATACTTTTAAATATAAATTGGAGATAACTACTGTCTGAAGACATTGTTAAAAGAGTTTTTGTTGACGTATGCAGAAAAAAGCTAAAGAGGTTTTGTTATTTTGTTGTTATATAATCTCTCTCATATTTTTGTGTACAAACTTAAATCTATTGTAATAGGTTTTAATGTATCGGTGAAATATATCTTTCACCGGTAATCTTATTGTTATTTTACTTGAATTAATGCACATATGTATTAATGCTATCCCCCTTGTGATTGACACCTGTGATATTTTTAACAGGCAGATTATTTACAAACGTACAGAAATAACAAATTGTTCACAATGAACGGGTCTGTTAATAATAAAAAAATAACATCTATCCACAACCCATTGACTACAAACATTTGTGAATATGGTGGATAGATGTGTTTAAAGTTTCAACCAAACACACACTCCATGACCATACGACATTGAAATGGATTGTAAACACAAATAGTTTTAGATATTTTAAGGATTTGGGGCTGTCTTGTAGATTGTTTTTCAGGTAAAAAAGACAAGGAAAACAAGGTAATGTTTTCCTTTCTATTTTTTTTATATAGGAATTTCTTTTAAAATGTCTCTTTTCATTTGATGTTAGGTACTTACTGCCATCCTGTTTATTCAAAGCAACACTACATAGATACATGGTGATGTTGTTTGTGTTATATTTTTGTACTATCATTGGGATTTTACATACAGAATAATACAGGGTACCTATCCCGCAAATATATCGACAAACCTTTAGGGGTGGTATAAGAGACATTAAAATAAACATTTTTTCTTAATAAACATAGAAAACGCTTTATTTTCGTTAATAAATTTGCCCGGCGCTTATGAACATTTTGGATAGACCCTATATAATAGTTTCAAAAATTGAAATATGTTAACGTTTTTAACATACATGTTAATGTTAATTGTAATATCCCCAATCAGCCCTTAAAGTTTGTAGGTATATTTATAGGGGACACCCTGTATAATTTTCCTGAAAATATAAAAAATATACATAGGTATATGAACCTTTAGTGCGCATATATTATATAAGATAGGCTATACCTATAATAGTTGTGCAAATGAATTATTATTAGTAAAAAGAACTCGAGTCCGTCGTAATAAAAAAAATAAGTTATGGATTTTGAAGTATAGAATCATAAGAGACATTGTAAATCGCTTACAAAAACATTCAAATTTTAAATTAGCTTAATTTGTAGGTAATTTTCGTTTTAAAATGAATATATACCTATTTTTCTAATGATTTATTTATAGGCATCTACAGATTTAAATTGTTATTTTCGTAAATATGTAGTATTCTTTTTTTGTATAAAGCATTTGTAATATCAAGTTTATTTTTATTTATATATAAATTATTTTTTGTATAGATTTTGTACTTTTCTGTCCTGCCATAATATTTAGTAGGTCCCCCTCACAGTTCGTATAGACCAGCGGTTCTCAAACTTTTTCGGCGCCGGAACACTTTTGAAAAGCCTAAAATAATAAAAATAGATTTTTAAATTTTATATTGGAATATTTAGAGGCTTTGCGGAGCCCTAGGGCTCCGCGGAGCATACTTTGAGAACCGGTGGTATAGACAATAACAGTGGCTTCCGCTCACGGTTCGTAGACATCACGGTGGCCTCATCACGGTTGCTAAGGACGCAGTGACGTCATGGAATGAAAAAGTGAGTTGACAGAAAATATTTTATTTATTTATTTAGTGGTGTTTATATTTTTATTTTTGAACTTTGTTCTGATGTTACAGTTTTTATATTATCGGTAGTGTGATTTTTTTGAAAAACAAGCTACAAAACAGCAAGGAAAAATCATTTAATGATTTCCATGGAATTTTAAATGAGTTACTTTTTATTTGAATTATAAAGAGAAATATTATTATGTGAGTAGTTTATTTTAAACATTTTGGATTATGGTACGGCCTAAGAGCTGAATTCGGATCACACTTTTTTTATATCCAGAAATATTTTGAAATGTTGGCAAGCCTGTAGCTAGCCGTAGCGTTGCTGTTGCCTGCCAAAAGTTTCAAATAATTTTTAATTTTACGGACAAAACTCGTTAGAAGTAATAAAGGGGCCGATCCCAAACTGAAATTAAAGGCTTGTGGTAAGATTTTCGAGTATTATTCTGCAAATATCATTCACCATTATTAAATTAATTGCAGCTCTGTCCATCCTACATTTAAAAATAGACGACATGATTTCTTATTGGCATTAAACACAACAAAAAGCAAGAAAAGTCAAAGGGCTTTACTAAAAGCACCTACATTATTGAAAAAAAAAAAAAAGGTTTTCTAGAGGAACTTTTTAGTAAAAAGTAGTTACAAATAATTATAAAAGAAAACAAGGACCCATTGGACTTCAGAAGAAACATAAAATGTATATTTACATCAGAAATAAAAAATATATTTTCTAGGATGTATGAACAGTGTAATATACTTAAAAAAAAAAAACAATAAAACAGCAACAACCCAGTTTTATTATAATCTATAAATTAGAGAAATAGTATATTACATTACGAGTGTGGAAAGTGACATTTTTCACACAAGTGGGAAATATTGTCACACGAGTGTGGAAAATCACTTTTCTAGGCACAAAATAATTTCATCAAAAAAATGTAAAACCAGGTTATTGTTATTATAATTAAAATGTATTTAAAAAAATAATCAACATTAATCGTATTTATTCAATTTTCATTTTTCACTAAATATTAATAAAATATTAGATTTTTTAAAAGACTAATGTACGAACCGCAGCAGAATATTTTCTGTCAGCTCGATTTTTCAATCCGTGACGTCACACAATTCCTTAGCAACGGACGAAGAGGCCACCGCAACGCAACGGACGAAGAGACCACCGTGTTGTCTAAGAACCGTGGACAGAGTAAGTGTTCTGTGGTGTTCTGTGCCGTGGACACAGGACACAGCTTATATGCATTGCGTTCGGTCTGCCAAGTTCCTTTAACTCCTTTAACACTTTTAACTCCAAACGACCCTTTTAGCGTTCGGTTTAGTCCGAATAGTTACAGTTTAACACGCTTAAATGTCATTTAAAAGCACCCTAAAATTTGTCCCGCTCCAGCCCCTGACTATCCGAACTCGCCTACAATATTATATAAGCTGTGCCGTGGATTTCACCGTTGTTGTGTTAAAAGAAGTTTAAATTACTAAACGAAAATGTAAAAATGTCGTAATTGTTTATTTCTACTAGTGATGGAATTGAGCCTAAATAGAAAGTTGGTAGGATAACTTATATCAAAAGAGACAAAAAAATATATAAAAAGAAGAATCAGATTTGAGATTTGTTCAAACTAACCTCAAAAAAGTACGGCCGGGCTTTTTTTAAATTTTGTAAATAAATAATAAAAGCGATGGAAAAGGAAATAAAAACATTTGTAAGTATTTATGTTTACCATTTATACAGTTATTTAACAGTTTGCTTTCAGTTAATCCCTAACGATTTATGTAAAAGGGCAGGAATAGCTGGAACTTGGTTAGCCCTTGATCAGATCTCTGTATTCGCTTACGAAAAGCGCAACATTCGACAAAAAGACCAACCAAGTCATTTTGCATCGACTACACAATCCTCAGTTTTTCATTTACGACAAGACGTCGTTTTATTTCACCCTATTCTAAGAAAATTAGTTAATGAATCTAATGGTGTTTTTCTAGCTATTCAAAGCTTGATATCTAGTAAAAACGCTGATTTAAGATTGGAATTATTCAAGATTAGCAGACAGTATAGGTCTATAATAAGAGCTTGCTTGGAAAATTTACAGGATGAACATACAAAAAGTGAAAAAAGTGATGAAAAACTGGAATTACAGAATTACATTACTGTTTTTTATTCTATAGAATGTATCTGGCATTTATGCGAAATACTGTTCATAGATACCATGCCAGGTAAGTAAATAATTATTAAAACTTTTTTGGTTTTGTTCTTTGATAAATAAATGCCAAGGTTTTGTATATTTTTCCTTAACCTAACCTAAAAATAAATTATTGTATATATCACTAATGAAAACTGAAAGTAGCTGATTTAGACTCAAATTTAATTCATAAAAAAATAATCAAGAATTTTTTTAGAAATTACTCAGTTCTTGAATAAACCCCTGCGGTATTAATTCTGAACACTATACCCTCAGTATATTAGGAATTATTTGATAAGGAAACACTTAAATTTAATTCGCTTTTTCGAATTCGCACATTCCTTGAAGGTGGTTTTATTGAGGGTTTAAAAAGAAGTTATTAAATAATATATTTTCACACCACTTGCCCTCATTTCCTGTTTGCATACATATTTTAATTTCACATACATTATCAATACTTTGTTTAATAGCACTTATAGCCCAAGCTATGAAGCATTTAGGATAGTGGTTATCTCTAAAAAAATATAATAAAGCTACAAATTGATATGTTGGTCTAATTCGATGTATGATGATCCCCTTTCAGTTGATCGCAGGCTTGCATATTTTAGGGGTGACTTATAAAAAAAATCGACTTGTGAAAACCCTGTGCAAATGGTTACTCTGAAAGAAATCTAGTCTTCATCTAGAGGATAATGAGTATTGAAAAATTTCAATATGACCATCTGTTTGGCCCTTAACAATGCAAAACATTGGAGCATAGCCTTCAACGACAAGAAATGAGGGTAAACCAAGGGGTAAACTATAAATAGTAGGGTAGTACTTGCAAGCCAGTTAGCCCGGGAGCATCATGGCATCGAAACATATCAATTTTTAGCCTTATTCCAATTTTTCACAGGTAAATCTAACTCTATTTCCTGGCTCATTAATATTTTTTTAATTCTATTTCTGTTTTTCCATATCTTTTAAATTTTATATCCTTTTTTTCATTATTCTTTTCCATGTCTACATAAGATTATTTATTTTTTTAAGCCAATCCTTTTTCATGTGCTATTTTTTATTTATTATTTTCTTCTTTTTCTACTTTATCTATTCTGCCTATCATGTTTATTCGTAACTTTCTCTTTGTTTCTTCAATTTTCTCATCTGTATATATACTTAAATTTTTTCAACAATCTTCATTATTTCTTCTTTATCTTGTTTCCTATTTTCCTCCACCTCCCGTTTCTCCATTTTTTTATTGTTTTGATCCATTTTTATTTCCATTTATTTCCTTTAATTTATCTAATTTTAGTTGGCACTTGCATTAAATCTTTTTCCTTCTTTCTTCTTTACAACAGAGAACTAATCATTTAGGTATGGTCTTTTGAGAGGTTGCGGCATAATTAAAATGGTTGGCATACCATTGAAATGTTTTAGTATTTAATGTAGCTGTTAGAAGAAGAACCTTTATTTAATATAGGAAGTTCTAATACATAGTAGTTTTTTTTTAAATATTACATATTATCGTCAGTCTGCACAAATTCGGTTGAATAAATAAAATAAAATCTTAATAAAATCTTGACAGAATTAGTAATAAAATCAGTAATAAAAGTATGACGTTTAGTACTAAAGTTAAAATAAATACATATTAAAGTAAACATACAAAGTTACAAAGTTAATTTAGTTAATTTAATTTAAATTGTATTAAACATTTTTTAAACTGAGGTAGAGAGCTACTGAGGCAAAGCATTAAATTCACTTAATCCACATATAAAAATAGATTTTGTTGTTATAACTAGTCTTGTTTGTGGAATATAAAAATTATTAACAGATCTTGTATTGTAGTGATGTATTGTATTTAATTATTGTAGATGATAAAATCATTGAAGTACTCATGAAGTTTTTTATTTTTTGCTTTATCAACGAAAGTCATTGCTAAATAATAAAATCTTTGTCTGACTGAAATCCAACTTAAAGTGCTCAGTATACCATTTATTGGTGTGTATCTGTTACATCGAAGAATTGTTCTCATTCCTCTATTTTGCAATTTTTGTAGTCTTTGTAAACAGCTATTATCCAATTTATAAAGTAATGATCCGCAGTAGTCAAAATGAGGTTGTATAATAATAGTTTTATACACTGTTAATCTAGAAAAAAGGGAGAGATTTGAAGCAATTCTTGAGAAAAAAAATAGCTTTTTTGATATTTTTTTGCATACATATTCGCAGTGAGGTTTCAATAATAGATTTTCATCTAAAATAAATCCCAAGTATTTAAATTCATTAACCAATTCAACATTCTCGTTTTCAATTCTAATGTTTTATATATTATAGTTTGTTTGAATTAATTTATATTTACTTCCCAAAATCACTGCTTTCGTTTTTTTGATATTAAGTTTATTTTTATTTAAAAACTGGTTAAGACTCTCAATATATTATTGTTTATTTAAAATTTCTTCAAGGTTATACCCATAACATGCTACCAGTGTATCATCTGCAAATAGATTAATAAAGTCACACTCAATATAATTAATGTCATTTAAATATATGATAAATAGAAGCGGCCTTAATATACTTCCTTGCGGTACTCCTAAGTTATTTTTTAGCATTTCAGATGTTGATTTACCTAGATTTATATATTGTAATCTATCAGTCATATACTGTTCAAACCAGGTCAGGACTCGTCCTGCAAAACCATAATATTTCAATTTATTAATCAAGATTTTACGATCTATTGTCTCAAAAGCTCATTTAAAATCTAGAAAAACTGCTATTATATATTTATTTTCATCAAGTACTTGCTTCCATTTAGATATAGTTAACTGTAAAGATGTTTCACATGAATGGCCTTCCCTAAATCCTGACTGATTTTCCACAAACAAACCATTGTTATTAAAGTATTCTAATATTTGGTCACGAACTCTAATAATTTTTCAATCGGAAGTATATTTATAGGTGGCAAGTTGGATGCATTTGTATCGTTTGCAATTTTTTGGACTGGAACTATCTTGTTTGCTTTTAGTCTATCAGGAAATGTTCCTGTTTCTAGTGAGGTGTTTATTAAATTTAACACTGCAAAATCAGTTGTATAAAAGGTTTCCTTTAAAAACTTAGCACTCAATATCTCATCATAGCTTCCCTTATTTTTTAACGAAAAAACAGCTTTTTTTAGTTGATCTAATGTAATTAATTTAAAATCAGTTAATGTTGATTGAATATCATTTAAAAAATTTAGTGACCAATCATCAGTTGAAGGTATTGAATTTGTTATTTCACATATACTATTTACAAAAAAATTATTTAATTTGTTGGCTGCTTCTTCTTCCGTTTTAGCGAAATATACAGATCCATCAACAGAAAACCCAACAGAGTCAAATTTAATTTCCATATTTTTACTTTTAATTAATTTTTTTCCACATTTCCTTAGAATCATTTTTATGTTCATCTATTTTATGTTCATAAAACTCTTTTTTCTTGCACTTCAATGAATTAACAACTATATTTCTTTTATTTTTGTATTCATTCCACAATACATTTTTATCTGGACCTGAGGCTCTTTGAAACTTTTTGTACACTTTATCCCTTTAGATATATGTTCAGGAGAGTCTCTATTTATTTTCTCACTTGAAAATATAATTAAGGGTCTCATTTTTATTTCAAATGACTTATGGGTTAACATATTGTATATAGACTCTAAATTATATATATTTTTTTATATTCTAAAGTGTAACACCCTGCGAAATTGTTGGCTTACAAGCAAAATACACTAAGTCAGATTTGATGAAAAATCCATTAAGTCACAACGTATTTTTCCTAAACAAAATAATGCTGTTATGGACTTAATGAATATGAAAATAATTTAAAAATAATATAATTCTCATAAGACCTAGTGGATTGTACCAGTATACAGAGCGGAAGAAATCTACTCAAATAAGTCAAAAATTTAAAAAATCTGACTTATTTTTTTATCCTGGGCTCGTCTGACTATGTGTCTCCGAATAACACTGAAACCTATTGGCTTATTGTGTTTTACCCCATGTTAGTTCATAGCACCCACTCTATCACCTTTGTACCTTGTACAAGTTTGTACAGATCCTTGGATGAGTGGGTTCTATACGTTGTTGGATCAACCTGGGGTTGTCCAAAAAGAGCCTGCCTTTTGCGATCTAGAGCTTCGCATTCGCACAGTATGTGTTTGGCTGTTTCTGATTTCTTGTGACATAGTTGGCACATGAGTTCCCCATTGTACATGCAAATTTTGTTCAAGTGTCCCTTTACTGGGGCGTGCCCAGTCATGAACCCTGTTATCACTTTCAACTGGTTCCTATTCATTAAGAGTAGTTCTCCAGTTCTTTTGGGACATGATCTGGCTGTTTTGGGGTGCTTCCCCAATAGTTGATATGTTGTTCCTGAATCCAGTCATTTATAAAACCCCGAACTGTTCTTTTTGGTACTCCTGGGTTTGTGTCTGGTTCCGGTTTTTCTTCTGACCCTCTCTTTGTAAGTTCGTCAGCCTTTTCGTTGCCTTCGATCCCTTTGTGACCTGGCACCCAAAATAGTTTTACTCTATTTCGATCTGCCAGTGTTCTTAGTTTTTCGATGCATTCCCATACCAGCCTCGACGTAACTTTCTGACTCGATATGGCCTTAAGTGCCGCTTGGCTTTCTGACATTATTTGAATATGCTGATTTTCGACAGCTCTTTCATTGTTCGTTTTTGCACATTGCAAAATTGCGTATACCTCGGCCTGAAATACCGAGGAATGTATTCCTATAGCATAGCTATGGTTAGTATCAGGGTTTTTGGAGAATACTCCTGCCCCAGTGCCTTCCGCAGTCTTAGACCCGTCTGTATACCAGGTTTGTTCCTGTCGTTGGGCATTGGGCTCCCTTATGGTGATCTCCGCTCTTTCCTGTATTAAAACCTCAAAGGGAGTATTAAAAGAGCACGTCTTGGTTAAGTGGTCTGATCTCATGTCTAGCACGTCTCCTGTCACTAACCTTGAGATACTCATTGGGCTCCCTTATGGTGATCTCCGCTCTTTCCTGTATTAAAACCTCAAAGGGAGTATTAAAAGAGCACCTCTTGGTTAAGTGGTCTGATCTCATGTCTAGCACGTCTCCTGTCACTAACCTTGAGATACTCATGTGACCTGGCCTAATGTCAAGATTTCCCAGTGTATTCCCTAATCTGTAAGCACCTAATCTTGCCTCCCCTTGTATCACATAGTGAAGAGGTGGGAGTCCTATTAGTGCTTCCATTGCAGCAGTGGGGGTTGTTTTCATTGCCCCCGTTATTCCGAGGCAGGCAAGTCTTTGTACCTTGCTTAGCCTCGTTATTGCTTTCCTTTGCTGTGTCTTTGGCCACCACACCAAAGCTGCGTATGTTATTATGGGTCTCACCACCATGTTATAAAGCCAGTATACCATGTCTGGTTTTAACCCCTATTTTTTCAAAAGGATCGCCTTGCCATCATTAATGAGGTTTCCGCTCTCCTTGTGGTTCTTTATAGATGCTGGTTCCAGGTAAGTCTCGAGTCAATCATAACTCTGAAATATTTTACCTCCCCCTTAAGCTGGATGCTTGCACCTCTTATGTTTAGAGGCCCTGGTCCCTCCAATTTCCTCCTGCGGGTGAATGCAATTATGTCAGATTTGTTTGGGCTAATGTTTAGTCCTTCCGCCTCTGTCCATTTTGTTACTATATTTAGAGCCTCTTGCATTCGATCTCTTACTATAGTGTTGTATTTTCCCTGTGCCATGATTACTAGATCATCGGCATATCCCAGGGTTCTATGTCCCTTATCTTTGAGAGACCTAAGCAGCCCGTCCACTACAAGGTTCCACAGGAGTGGTGACAGCACTCCACCCTGTGGACATCCTCTCGCTACCCGTGCCTTAGTGTGTTTTGCTTGTAAACTGATGAAATTTATTTCCAATTTTCCTTTGGTGAATGTGAATACAAGTTTCTACAAACCGAATAGCTTGAAATTTTTCTTGGACTATGAAGATCATTTTTAAAAATTTAACACTGTTGAGTTTGATGTAAAATTTTATCCTTTTAAAGTCAGATTTCACTTTATTTTTTCTCCATCATGAAGGATTGCTATTGGGTTTTCATTACAGAAGGGTTTTATTTATGAATGGTTACCAGCTTAAAACCGTTAATATTTTTTTTTATAAAAAATGTGAAAACTCAATTTTATTATCACATAATTGTCAGATTTAGTACGTATTTCAACTAGGTAGTATTATTTTAGGTAATTTGGTGCTATCACAGCTATTGGAATGGGTAAGTTTCCATTTTCCTGAATATGAAAGAAATGCTGCCAGTATGTTGGCAGAAAATGTAGTGGGTTTGGAAACAAGATCTGAATATTGGGACACAGTATTAGGAGCACTACTTCAAGGTAGAATTAAGCTGGTTAGGGCTCTACTAAAACAACACTCTTCTTCAGACAACAGTACTTACAGATTGGCTGAACAGATTTTGAAAGCTATGCCTACTTTTAATGTAAGTTAAAATATTTTTTGGGACTCCTTTTTGTTTATATGCTTTTTTAACAATTTAGGGACCTGGAGGTTCTTCTTTAAACGAATTAAATATGCAATGGAGACATTGGACAATGGATGTACAGTCAAAGATCGATTCTAAATTGTTTAGTACTGAGAAAAATTTGGATTTAATGATGAGGGTAAGCATTTTATTTATAATATATATTTTTTTAATTATTCTATTTTAACTTTTAAAATATTAGATAAAAAAAGTGAAAAACTGTGAATTTCGTTATAAAATTTAGGAACATTTGTTACAAATTATTTTAAAATATATCGAATGAATAAAATTTCAAATAATTATTATAGAAAATGCTTTTCTATATTTGAAATTCCGCGACAGTCATGAAAATTAATTAAATAAAATAATAACAAAATATTTCCTATTGTGAAAATTGTTAAGTATGTCTGCTAAAAAAATAATATTTTGGTTTTGGGTTACTAATAGGTGAATAGAAAGTTCCTTGTGGGTTTTCATAGATAAGTAGACAAGGCCGTGTTCTAATTATATTGTTCCACAGTATTGAATATGACTGATCTCTTTGAACTATATACTTCTAATAATATACCAAATAAAGTAATTTTTGCTAGGAATAAAAGGAGATAGAATATCGACGCCATTTTGAACTACCTATGAAGTCTGATCGGTTAGAAAAAATAGCATATTACGTCACATTAATAATATTCTCTTTACTTATTAAAATAATTGTATTGTATTGTATTATTGTAAAAAAGTATCGAAAGTTAAATTTGTTCCATCCTTCAAAAATTATGGGGCGACTGCATTATAATGTAAACTGGCATCGCTGATATTATTCGTTTTCTGCTCGCTCTAATGCCAACTCCCAGTAGTTTTCGCAGCTACTTGTTCACAGCGTATTGTAAAGTGTTAGATAGCCGATACTGTATATGTGACAGTCATCCTAATTACTATTTTGTTTTTCTCACATATATGAAACAACCGTCCTTAACGGGTTAATACACATATTTGATTAGATAATTCACTTGACATAAGCCTTCATGGCTCAGATGGTTATGCGTTGAACTTTAAATTTCAACAATTTCGCGACCGAGGTTCACTTCCCGATAAAAGCATTCTTTTTTATAATTATGTATTATAAGTATGTGTTTATTTAGTTTGAATATATTTTATTTATCATTATATAACCCCCCTACAATTAGGCAATCCATTAATCTTTCCGCTATTTATTCTGTACTAAATTTCCGAGAATTAACCTTCGTATAGGTTGAATTTATTTGGCTCCTACAAAATCCTGGTTTTCAGAGGGAAAACCACGGACTTTTAAGTTGATTTTCATATCAAATTAAAACTCTATTATCTGACCATTGCGAGTGATATTCAGTGTAAAATTTCTTCGTTACTAAGTGAAACTGCTTTTTAATTCATAAAAGTAATTATACCATGTTTTTTTATCGCTTTTTTTTGTTATTTTACAATTAAGCAGTGACAAAAACTTTTTGCGATAAGGACAATTTTAAATCTAAATGAAAGTGGCTACTGTTCCATTCTAACGTCGTTTTACTCAGCAGGATAGATAAATATAGAAAATGGGCAAATCTTTTAAGTGCTGTCAGAACAAAGTATTTGGAAGTTATGTATCAGATGTATAAATATTTTTCATCGGAGTTGTCTCCAGATGATGAAAAATGTTAAAATTTTGAAATGGTATAAGGTGATCTGTTCTATCGAGTGTGCTGAAAAAGATGAAAGCTGTAACGGAGTTGAAAATGATCCTGAAGAGTTATTGAAAGAGCTAAGTGATCTGTAAGGAAATAAAGATATAGAAATAGGCAACTTAAAAAAATCTTATGAAAATTTGAAGATAAACTTTTTTGAAATTGACAGAAAAATTGCTTCAGATAGGGACGAGCAACAGATGCTAATAACTACTCTAAAGAATGAAATTAAAATTTTAACAGAAAAAATATAGATATTAGAGCAGAACTGGAACTGACTGAGGAACATTTGCTTGTAATAGAGAAAACTAAAGAGGAACTAACGGACATCCAAAGGAGATTGATAATTTCAATTAAAACCCTAGAAAAGGATAAAGAAACCTACGAAAACGAGTTGATAGATCTGAAATCGACACTTTGTTATCGAAAAAACCAAATGACCACAAGTGTGTTTGACTTAGAGCCAGGAAAAAGCCTTTCAAAAAATGTATTAAATAAACGGGAAGTGCAAAGTACTTCTTCGAAAAAACATATTAATATTAGGCGACGAAGTTGTTATTAACTTACATATATGAGACGGTCTCCTGGATTCAAAAGTTTCAACATTCAATCTATTATTAAACTAGGAGGGAATTTTGACAATGTACTGGAGAATGTAGCAGAATTAGTAAAAACATTTTCATTATCTGATTTTGTGATTGTGGTAGCAGGTGCTAATGATTTTGTTATGTCCAGGGTCCCTAAATTCAGAAATATTTGTTCGATACTGAAACTATGTACATGAATGAGGATTCGTCGTAGACAGGAGCAAAAAGATGCTTTAGACATCATGAATGATAGCAACATCCTTTATCGATGATTCAGTGTGAGATAAGCCGATAAAACTCGCTTATGAACGTTTTATTCCAAATTTTTTAGTGTTCAAAGCTTTAAAGCGGTTTTTCCACAATTCATATTTCTAAAGTCGGTGCCTTTCATAACTTCAAAATTACCGCAACTATCCTTTTGAAATTTTAAACACTATTTCTGTACATAATTTACGAGGTAATGCTGGAGAGTTTTTTTTAAATTTGTTAATATTTTATAATAACAAATTAGCCTATTTTTTTTCGGAAGAATCGCATTTTTTACTTCAAAGTGTTCCCTAAAAGTAAAAAATTGAAATTACGAAAAACCCTCCCAGCGTTACCTGAGGAAAACGATTATCTAACGAGAGAACTTTAATTTTTTTATTTCTGATGATCCAGCACCGAGTTAGGAGGGGCACCGCAATTCTACTTTTTTCCGAGACGCTTCCGAATAATTGCTACCATTTCTGTATTTTTAAATATTTCTACATGAAAATTTGACACAATATCCTTTGGATGTTATTCTTTAATGTACCATTAGTTTAAATAAACAGATTTTAACTGTGTCGTCAAAAGAAATTCAAAAGGTGCCTTTTTTTGCACTAATTAACCTTACCCTCCCCCCTTTACACTTCTCATCGTTTGTTTTTCATTCACAATCAAATCATTTCTCGTTTATTTTATTATATGAGTTTGCCCTTGGGGGCCTCAGTCTCTAATATTACGTCTCTAGATTGTTTATATTTTTGAAAATTTATAGATACAGCATTTTTTTTTATTTTCTACATGATTTAAATGAAGATCTATGCATCTTATTTATTTCTTATAATCTATTCTTTATTTGACCCTTAATAATAAATTATTTGGAGTATTTTGATAAAATATTCTATAATTAGAATTTCAAGCCGAAAACTACTCTGTGTGTGTAGTTCAAAATAGAGGCGCCTTGTACTCTGCCTGTCGAATGTCTTTTTTGAGAGGTATAATACAGAAGTTTGTGGTTTGAACTAAAACACAACTCACAAGTTCTTTAAAATACATAAAAAAAACGAAGAAAGTCACTTTTAAATTTTTATTATAAACCGATACAAAATTTCAGTTTATCTTTACAACTAACTGGCTCCCAACGAGGAGAAAACTCGTAACATGTATTTTTTTTCAGCTCATAGTCGGTGAAGAGAAGGCTTGGATCGAAATTCAAGACAAGTGCGAAGTTTGGTACGCTTATCTAGCCGGTTGGCTCTTTTTCACTGAACCCACCGTCAAATCTTTCGAATTGGGCCAATTCGCAAAACGGGCCATAACCAAACTCAGAATGAACAACCAAATGAAGCAGCTGGATAAGGTTCTATTAGCCGCCATGGAGTTTGACATTTTCCAAGTAAGTGTCTTGTCAGTTATCACGTGTCACGTATTTCATCTGTCACAACTATGAATTGTCGATATTTTTATCTAATTTTTAGGTCATAAAAGAGATACAACACATGTATGACAATGGTTGGTTTGTAAGTCATTTGACAGATCTCTTGTACCACTGCGATAGACTGTGCGATCTGGAAAAGGAAGTTCCCGATTTGTAAGTTAATTAAAACTCGTTTATGAAACGTTTATAACGTTTTGTTTTGCAGTTCCGCTGAAAAACTGCGTGAATCGTTCATCCTTGATTATGGTACCACGCTGATGGGTCACAAATCACTTTGGCAGGTCGGTTTGACATACTTGGATCATTGTCCCAACGATGGGCTTCAAGTGATCGAACTGTTACTGCCTAGAATCCATATGGACACCGAGGCTAAAGCGCAAAAGGTTGTCAGAGAGGCTAAAAACAGGGAATTAAATAATGTCGGTAAGTAAGGGTGCTGTAAACGTAGTTGAACATTTTTATTTGTTTAGCTCCTGTCATTTAGTCGAGCTACATTGACTCCATTCTCTCTTTTAACTCCAATCGAACCTTTTAGCGTTCGTTTATTGCGATTAGTGATAGTTCAACACACTTAGGGGCGACTTGTATCAACCAATCGGGTATAAACTTAGTTCAAGGCTGAACTTGGTTTTAGATGAAAAATTGCATTGGATTTTTCATCTAGAACCAAGTTCAGCCTTAAGCTAGGTCAAAAACACTCTAAAAATCTCTGCCCCTGTCCCGTTCCAAGTCCTGGCTGACCGAACCCACTTTTAGTACACTGTAATCGATCTGTGACATTTGACGTATTATGTTTTCTTAACGGTTGATATAAAGAATTTTAAGGTGTGACATTTGACGTTTAAAAGGCTAGATATATGTTTGTTTGCATCAGTTACCTATTAGAATATGGCCGAAATACGGTCCCAAAATACGAACGTTAATTAAGCTTTTACAATAAACCGCAGGGGCGCTGTGGTTGCTAGGGATGTTAAAAGTACATGGCTTCTTGTGGAACTTTTACATAATTCTATAAAAATAATAAAAATTAACTTGGTTATTGCAAAATACAGCACAGAAAATATTGTATTCATTTCTAAATAAGTCTTACATGTTTTAAGTGGTAAATTATTTAATTTTATCTATATAAAATGCAAATTAGATATGACCAAATACGAAATAGTTTTGACGTATGACACATGACTGCGTATTATAGTTTGACATAAAATAGTAGCGTTCGGATTAGCCAGAGGCTGGAACGGGACAGGAACGGAGTTATTTACGGTGCTTCTAAATGACATTCAAGCATGTTGAACTGTCACTAATAGGAATAAACCGAACGCTAAAAGGGTCGCTTGGAATTAAAAGGGTTAAAGGAGTAAATGGAACTTGTCTGTTCGAACTTACTTAGGGTATAGTCCCTTATTAATCGGCTACTCGGTCCAAAACTGACCGCTCTGCTTGATATTCTTGAAAAATCGGTTAATTTAGGGATGCGGTTACCTGAAAATGGTGACTCAAACGTCAATTCGCTTACCGCTATATTTTTACGGTTACTTTTAAGTCAAATGTCAATCTGTCACGAAAGTGACGTAAAGCTCGGCCGTGGTCCAAATGTAATTTATTTTTTATTTAAAAACATTTAGTCACCTTTTAAAAATCTTTGCTATGCACATCAGCTTAAAAATAGAATACTAAGTGTAATGTATTGCTCATAACAGAGGTCTGCATGAGCCAAGACGAGTATCTTCGCCTTTAATATGCCGAGTTGTTTACTGTTATGATTACGCTAAATATAGCAGCCCTCACTCCTTGCCCTAGGGGCACAATTAAGGGATTGTATAGTGCATAAATCGGTAAATGTACATGGTCTTGCGTTAATTATGGTTGTGTCCCCTGAAAATGCTAAGAAAAACAGGGTTGTCATAGTGTGTACGTGGTCCTATAAAAAGTCTATGTATTCTGTCATAATTCACTGGAATAGTGTACGATGAACACCCCAAAGAAGCCACAATCGAGAGCGAAAAGCGCTATCGATTGGGGCCCCGGCGGCCGGCTCATCGCTCAGTCTTCTGTCGGACTAGATCTCTTAAGTATCCAGTCCGTGTGAATTATAGTTTATAGTATGGATCGTATTGTGTATGGTCACGTTACTGTCTTTTGTAATTGCTGAGATTTTTATGTAGGCATCCGTGTCTTCTGCGCACGTTGTCCCCCTGATAAATGTTCATGATGCTATCCCGTAATTCATCAGGGAGGCATCGCGCGTAGAAGTTTTTGCTGTTTCTATAACAAAGTCTTTGATGTAAGGCATATTTCTCGTATTATGTATGTCACGTATTCTAGCGTAGCGCTCGTATCCGAGAGCAAGCCTCAGACATCTGTTTTGCGCCCTTTGCAATCTATTGTTAGTGAGTAGTTGACATTAAACAAAAATTTGGGCTCCCATATGTTAGGATTGGCCTGAATATGGTTTTGTATAAAAGAAGTTTGTTAGGAAGTAATACTCTACTTCTTCTACAGAGCTTTTAAAACCCCTGTACTTTTATTCACCCTGTGTTTTATATACGCCATGAATGTAATCCCACTATCTAGCTGAAAACCAAGATATTTTACTTGCGTTATTACATGCATTTCTTGTCCTTGTATGATTAGGGGTGTGACAACACCCACTGTCCTTCTTTTGGTGAAAAGTAAGGCTTCGGTCTTATTTGAATTGATATTCATCTTGTTTTTAGCGAGATAGTTCATCAAGGGTCCGTTGATATGGGCTTCCAGCTTTCTGTTCGCAGTTTCGGCGGATTTGTGGCTATTAAAAACACAGATATCATCGGCGTACAGTGCCGTTTGCACACCATTATCACCCATGGGTAAATCACAGGTCATAAAAGTGTACTGGTGTGGCGACAGTACTCCCGCCATCGCTATGAAAGGTCCTGTAATTGTTCAGTTGATTTTAATATTAAAGTGTCTTTCTTGTAGGTATGATTGAATTATTTTTATAATGTGCCCAGGAAAGTAATTCACAAGCATTTTGTAGATTAACCTACGGGACCTTACGGTGTCAAAGGCTTTCTCGCTGTCTTAGCACCATTTGTAAGCAAGCCCTGATTAAACGCTTTTTTTCGCGTGATGCACTTTTCTCTGGACCTGGGCCACGGTGCTGCGTCCCTCTCTGAAGCCGTATTGTTCCCGTGGGATAATCTGCAGCTGTTGTTCAATGGTTTTAAATCTTTTCAGAAATATTGTGTTCGCAATTTTTGCTATTGTATTAAGCAGGGATATGGGTCGGTAGCTTTCTATATTGTGAGCCGTTTTACCAGGTTTTAAGATTAGTATGATAACTTTCAGACTACTGGGATAGTGTTGTAGTCTGAAAATGGCATTTATTAAATGGTAGATCTGCACGACAGCTTTTCTGCTGAGGTTTTTAAGCATTATATTACTAATATCGTCTGGGCCCAGAGCTCCCTTATTTTTGATACTCTTAATTACCTCACCAACCTCTTTAGGAGAGGTTAAAAAGGAATGTGGCACTGGTAGTGGTTCCAGCTGTTCAAATAGAGTGACGATGTGTTCGATGTGATTTTGATTGTTATTGTTCTCTTGAGGGTTGACAAATTTCGATTGAAAGTATTCGCCGAAGGCTTGACCTTTGTCCTTGTCCGCAGTTAGTAAGTTTGGTCCCTCTCCCATTGTGGGAAGTAATGAATGCGGTTTTTTATACCTTTTCACGACTTTCCACAATGAGTTGTCATTTGATTTTATTTCGGATAGGGCATTTTGACATTTTTTGTTTTGGTGGTCTCTTATTATTTTATTTATAGTCTTGGCTATGCCGTGCATTAATACCCTATCCTTTGGTCTTCTATTTTGCTGCCACCTTTTCTAATGTGATTTTTGTTGTTATTAGGACTAAAATTTCAGGTGGCAGAGTGTCAGTGTGTAGTTTTTGTGTCTTGATTGTGGTTGTATCGTCTCTAGCCTTTTGTATGTTCTTTATTAAAATTTTGGTTTCATTTTGAATGTTGTTATTTATTACTGTGTAGTTTGTCCAATTGTGTTCTATATTGTGTCCAGTTTGTTGTAGTATAATCGTAGTATAGTTTTTGTTGTCTTTGTATTTTGTTTGTGGTCCATATTTCCAAGTATACTGGCTCATGGTCTGAATTTAATGTGGTGATGGTTCGCATGTTTCGAATATCTGGAATGTTTTTAGCTATAGCGAAGTCCAGTGCACTTGGATTATATCTATCACAGGCCGGGATATATGTCGGTTCTTCAGTGTAATGTATTATTAGATCGTTGTCCTTGGCGAAATATCTCAGTATCCATCCGCTGGTATTGAAATGTACACTATGAGAGTTCCACTCTGGGTGTTTGGCATTAAGGTTCCCTGCTAGAAGAACTATTTCCTTTCGACATTAGTAAGTGCATATATCTACCTGTAAGTTGCTGTAATGGGGGGTTGTATGCACCGATAATGGTTAAGTTACTTACCTCTACAACAATGTGCTCCTCAAAATGTATCGGTATATTTTCCCTTGGCATTTAATTGAAGGTTAGGTTATTTCTAATTATTATGGCCACGCCCCCAGATCCGTGCCCACCCAATGGGATGTGTCTGTCATGTCTTATTACTAAATAGTAGTCGGTTAATATCGGACCATATCCCTAGTGAAGGCGTTAGATTATGACATGTGAAGTTTACTTGACAGCATAAGTTTTTGACCTAATTGTCATGACAGCAACTTTTTTTTATATTTCATATAATTGACGCAATAAAGTGTTATTGTTGGTTATTTTTTTAGTGCAAAGCGTCTGTAAAGTTCAAGGTATGTTGTCGATGAGGCGCGGTAGATTAGGAAACGCTCTTTCCTGGGCTCTGAAGTCCCAAGACGGTCCGTTTACGTCATTTTTGGCTGACGAATTTTTGCAGAATTACATAAAGAGCGGACGATTGAGTAGTACGGATCTGCTGGATAATTTGGGGTCCGGTATGTTGGTCAGCGATCGTTTAATATTTTTAGGTAAGGAAAATTTCGTTTATCTGTAAATGGTTGAGCATTTTTTGTTTTAGGTAAATATTATGAATTTCACAAGTTGTATCAAAGCGGGGATTATAGAGAAGCAGCTGCTTTGTTGATTTCTTTGCTGGCTTCTAAAATAATACCCAAATAGTGAGTATTCACTTTATTATATCATCAATATAGGTTTTAATTTAACATTTATTAATTTTATTCTCTTATTTTGATCCTATTTCATTTTATTTGTAGTTTTTGGTACATCCTTTTGATAGAATCCATTCCGCTATTAGAAAGTGGCGATCTCTTATTCTCGTCGAACGATACATTCACCATCATGCACTGTATGGAAGAGAAAAAAGACGTTCCCGAATTGAAAGACAAACTCGACATTTTGAGATTAGCCGCCACTAGAAATCTGTCGAGGGCGTTGACTTTCGAAGCCCAAATCATCGAATGAGCCATAAAATAATACTACGATCCCAGTTTTATGAGTTAAAAGTCTTTTCAGACGTTCAGTTGATGCAATGATTAATTGTTAACTTCGTTAAACGTCAACTGTCAATGTCGTTTATAATTATTTAATCAGGTGTCAGTTTTCATTGCCTTTTAAGCTGTCATCAATGTCAACTGTCAATATTAAAACACTGCCAATTGTATAATACTTTTTTTCCAATATTTTGAGTCAATTGTTGATTTTAATTTAGTATTTTTTTGGTGTTTTTTTTATGATACATTCTGAGATATATTTTGTAATAATTTATAATAAAAGTATAAAAAATGAGGTTTTGTTTTAATTTACCAGGTTAACTAGATGAAGAATTACCCTAAACTTATAATTAACACAGTCATCTTTCTGGGTTCCTTTAATCTTCTGTTGGACGTATGGTTTTTCCTATATATCATTTTCGATCTGACTGGATTATTTGGTAGATTCAAATCTTGTACGCCATATTTTGACATTTTGATATTTAGAATATTACATATATACAAAGTGTTCCTTAAAGATAGGCGAATATTGGTGCGTATATAAAAAATTAATGATAGTTTATTTTATAAACCATGGTCCAAAAATGTTTCGTGCTAAAGTTTAAAAGGAAAATATTTTCGAAAGTGTTTGAGATATTTCAATGGTATTTAGTACATAGTGACCGTAAAATACAAGATGAACTAACCTTTCAAATATATTTTCAAAAATGATCCAAAAATGGAATAGAACCAGAAATAGTCAAATTTATAAAAAACCAGATATTAAAAAATCGATTTGACTTTTTTTATTGAAAATATATTTCTAAAACATATCATATTGACAAATACAATGAAAACAAGTTTACAAAATACATACTGAATGTTACAAAATAAAAATGTGATTCAGTTTTAACATTCTCCCACCATGAGTCTTGATCTTGGTAAAGAAGACTCAATATCCATATCTGCGGACCTTCTTAACTTCGCGCCCATACCTAGTAGTCTTCACGGGTTTTCTCGAAGTGGGTGCCGCTGGCAACTCATCATCCTTGTTTCGGTAAATCGGTGTTATTATCTAAAATGTCATATACTTCTTTCAAATATTCAGATTCGTCATCTGCAAAAACTTCTAATGGATAGAGTCTCTGAACAGGTCTACTAAGAATTTCTTTCGATGTCTTCACTGTTACCATGCACACTTTTCTATCCTTTCCAATAACAACCTCTTGAATAATACCCAAAGGCCAATCGATTTTTTAGATTTTTCACTTTCAATTAAAACAACTTCACCTTTGGTTATTGATCTTGTCTCTAACTTTTTATTAGAAAATACTAAGTGCCCTAAGTATTCATTCCTAAATCTTTTCCTAATACACTCAACTAAATGTTGCTTACGTTTTAAATGTTTTTGCAGAGAAACTGATTCAGCTTTATCTAAATCAGGAACTTGATTCTCTGCAATATCTTGAATAAACATTGCAGGTGTTAATGATAACAAATCTTTATTGCTGCTGTAAGTATAAGTTAACGGTCTAGAATTCATAATAGCTTCACAATCGCAAATGACAGTTGATATCTCCTCATAATTTAAACTAGATTTACCTAAAACTTTCCTTAAAATTTGTTTTAAAATCCTCATCAGTCTTTCTCAAAACCCACCCCACCATGCAGCAGCTGGCGGGTTAAATCTCCACTCTATCTTTTCAACAGAAGAATACTGATGAATATTATCCCAATCTAAAGAACTTAAAATATTTTCACATCCTACAAAATTAGTACCGTTGTCGGAGTATATTATGGAAGGACGGCCTCGCCTTGCTATAAACCTCCTCAAACAATTCAAAAAACTTTCTGTTGAACAACTTAAAACAACCTCTAAATGAACAAGTTCTATAAACACTACATGTAAAAAGACACACCTAAACCTTATCACCATTTTTCAAAGATAAAGGTCCAGTCAGGTCAACTCCAATTTCAAATGCCCTTGCATTTTTTACTCTATCTCTAGGTAAAACAACAGAAGGGATATAAATTTTTTTAAAATCAAATATACGACAAACGGTACACTCCTAATATTTTTCCTACCCTTAACAATCCAAAATTTTTCCCTTAAAATACTTAATAACGTTTGCACACCAGCATGACCATTATTACAATGAATTTGATATACCATTCTTTGAACTACTGGGTAATGATCGGGTAGCAAAATGGGAGTCAAAAAATGTACTGAATCATCCCTTTGAAGAATCCTAGTTTTAATTCTTATAATACTATCGGAATCTTAAAAAGGATGCAAACATATAATATCCCTATCGTCCACACCTTTAAAACTTTCTTCCTGAATACATTTTATGATAAATTTCTCAGCTTCGTCCCTCTCTTGCTTTAATAAATACCCTTCCTGCCTTCTCTTATTCTTGTTTAAACAATTATACATAAACCTTCTTATCCAGCCTAAAAGATTCATGATATGTGAATACTTAGAAAAATACTGAATAATCAACTTCAGCATTCAATAATGAAGAAAGGGTGTTCCTTTTTTCCTTAGATTCTAATTCTTCCCCAACTACATACTCGTACTTCTGCAGAGGCCACTTGGAAACATTCAATAACCAACTCGGTCCTTCCCATCAACCCAGACAACACACCAAATCCCAGAGATATCCACAGAATATCTTTTGTGGATATCCAATATATCCACAGGATATCAGAAATATTCCGTGGATCTAATATGGATATCCAAATGTCCGTCTATATCCAGAATATAGAAAATATCCCTATGGATATCCAGCAAAATATCTAATGGGTATCTTCCAGACAATACAAGAAATCCCAGAAATATCCACAGAATATATTTTGTGGATATCCAATATGGATATCCAACCAAATGTCTGTCTATATCCCAAGATATAGAAGAATTCGGATATTCAGCAAAATATTTTATGAATATCTTTAGTAGATGTTCATAAGTAACCAATGATTATTGAATAACGTCGAAAGAAAATAGCAGAGATAAAAAATATTTTCAACTCTCAAAATATTATCAACACTCTGCCTTTGATTTTGCCCACTAAGGAGAAAGTCATTCTTATTAGGACTCTTCAACAATAAATGGAAACTCTCGACTCCAGTTTCTAATGGAGTCCGACTGATCTAGAAATTTCGATCGAACTCAATTACGGCGGGTTGAGCATGAGCACGAGCGAAAGTGGTATCGCCATCTATACTTAGTAAGCAAAATCAAAAATTACATCTAGTGGATATCCACGATGGTTTGCGTTCGCGCCTAGACTTTGATATATTTAGTGGATGTCCATGTGATATTGAATACACCTTAAAAAATTAATTTTAAATATCTGAACGGTACTATTAGCCACAATGGCGAGAACAATGGCGTAATTTTTTAATAATTTGCTATATAATTACTATTATTTATGGACATTTGCATGTCTATAAATTACATCTTATTTATTTATTTATTCCAGAAACAAACAGGCATGAGCCTAATTACATGTTCCTATAAATACAGCGAAAATAGAAATCAACAAAAATACATAATATCTAATTAAATATATAAGTGAAATTATAATAAACAAACCTCGCTACTACAAAATTTGAACAAAGTTCGTTAAAGAACAAAACTACTGAAATAATCAGAAATATTCAGGAATAATCAGAGCGTCTGCAAAACCCCACACCAAGGCCACGGAAATCCTACAAGGTTATGTCTCTTTAATCGAGCCCAACAATTTTGTTAAGTTCCTTTCTATATGTGCTTATAGCTACATCAAAAATACCGCAAGAAATGCCTTCGGAGTGTACATTAAACAAAAGACAAATTTTTTCTACTGGACCATGATTGTCCGCACGAAAAGTTAATTGACGTGGACGAATACCTGCTATTGGAACATTAATTTTTATTTGACTCAATAAATATTGACTGTCCAAATATCCATTTAATAATTTATGTAAAAAGACAAGGTTGATTATAGAGCGTCTATGTTCCAATTTTTCAATTTCAAACTCTTTTCTAATAGGTCCAAATGAAACAAATCCTGGACTTGTATGATACTTTTTAAAGTATAAATATTTGACAAATTTATTTTGAATAGTTTCCAAAATGTGTTTTAAATTTTGTTGTGTAGGGTCCCATACAGTGGATGCATATTCTAATTTACTACGAACGAGAGCAAAAAATACATTTTTAATCGAGTGTGTGTCTGTAAAGTCCCTAGTCGTGCGTTTCAAAAAACCTAACAATTTGTTAGCTTCTTTGGTAATGTTATGGATATGCTCGTCAAATTTGAAATTATTTTGAAAAACTATTCCCAAGTCGGTCATTTTTGACACTCTTTCTAGTGTTGATCCTTGCATTGTGTAGATAAAATTTTGAGGATTACGAATGTTACTGAATGTAATAACCTTGCATTTGGAAAGATTAAAATGTAATTTATTTTCAAATGACCAATCCGAAATTGAGTCTAAGTCATTTTGAAGGTCTAGATAGTCATCTAGGGTGGATATTTTCTTAAAAACTTTCAGATCATCTGCATACATTAGGCAGTCTGATGTAATACGTAGAGGAAGGTCATTAACAAATATTAAGAAAAGTAGTGGGCCCAAATTGGAGCCCTGAGGGACCCCAGAGCCTGCGAGGATTGTATGAGATACTTCACCACCAAACATTACGTATTGATACCTAAGTTTTAGATAAGACTTAAAGAAATTTATTAGATGATCGCTAAGACCATAATATTTCAGTTTAGCTAGAAGAATATTGTGATTTACCTTATCGAAGGCTTTCTTAAAATCAGTATAAATACAATTTACTTGCTCACGAGAATTGACACATTTTGATATTTTATCACTGAAAGTTAATAAATTTGTATCTACAGATTTTTTACGACAAAATCCGTGTTGTTCGGTTGGTATGTATTTTTGAAAGTAAGCATACAGTTTATCATATATTACAAATTCAAACAGTTTCGCCGTACAATTTAATATGGCTATGGGACGATAATTATCTATTTTATTTTTATCCCCTTTTTTAAAAATTGGTGTTAATCTCGTTCTTTTAAATTCACTAGGAAATATGGATGTTTTAAGCGACTTATTAAAAATTACCAGCAAAGGGTATATTAAATATTCTTTACAAGCTTTTAGGATATAACAAGGAATATTATCAGGACCCGCTGTCTTTTTCGGTTTTAACTTTCGAAATGCCGCTTCTAAGTCTTTGACGGATATTAGATCGAAGTCAATATTCTGATAAAAATTTACGTTCCAATTGTTAGTCAAACCATTAATATCTATAAG